CTCTCTCTCTCTCTCTCTCTCTCTCTCTTCTCTCTCTCTCTCTCTCTCTCTCTCTCTCTCTCTCTCTCTCTCTCGAATTAAAAATAAATGTAATTTCTTATCTATGTTTTAATTAAAAGGCATATTGATATTGACTTTCTTCTACTTGTCCACTATTATTACGCAGCTCGTCTACTGTCTAACCATGAGTACGTATTCAAAGCCCCAAGGAATGTTTACCATTGGTGTTACCGCCGGGCTGGCGTGGGAACTACCCTACAGAAATACCGCGTTCTACGGGAAGCCAGCCGAGGTTTATCATCGTCGGAGCAGAAGAGAGCTGTACCGTAAAGTGGAGCTAATGCTACGAACGTGAGTAAGAAAGACGGACAAAGACAGGAAGGCAAGGAGGACCGCTTTCCGGCTATAAATTATTAATTAACGACTGTCACGACCCGTATAAAAAAAATCACCTGAATTATTTCAATAATACGGAAACGACGTAGAAATTTATCTTCAGCGTGCGACGAGGAAAATATGAATCGCTATTGCAACGATTACGACATACTTTTCCGTTTGACAGAAAAATCGAATATTTTATCATTTTTATTTGGCATCTGAGTCTATTTCACTCTTTCCTTCTCTACCGATCAGATTTATCCTCTTCCCCGAGTGAAAGGTTCTGATGGAAAAATGGTAATTCTATTGAACGCGAATGAAGGGAGACTTATCGACGTGAGATTTTTGTTTCGGCGACTTGTCGGGCGAGTTCGTTGCTTCCCGATACGAAGAAAAATAGAGACGCGAGCCGCGTTATTGGAAAGTTGCCTTCTCATCTGCATCATGGAAAATACTTCCATTTTCCAAAGGCGAGAACGTTTTCTTCTTTTAGAGGGATCTCGAGGGATCGACGCGGTAGGGAGGAAAAATCATAATGCGCCGGACGTTTTGAAATGTAGGATAGTCATCCGGTAACCACCGGACGTAATCGACGTAATCGAGAGAGGGGCTTAACTTAAAAATTTCCTCTCGTAAAGTTCCGCGCGCGTGACCGTAATAAAATTGCATTTGGTAAATCCAAATAACCGCGGCGAAACACACGCGGGACGAATGTATTTCACGGCCGACGAAGCGGCAGGGAAACGCTCTTAAACGGTCACTCGAGCGACAAGCGGATTAAAAGCGGGTGCGCTTTCCCGTTGCTCGGGGGGCCGGAAAATGGTCCCGAAGAAACGACGATGATTCAGGTACGACCGACGACGCATAATACCCGTAAAACTGTGCACGCTCGACCGCTTGCATCCCCAGCGTTTCACCAGGATACGGTTCGAGCGCTTACGGGCATATTAAGCGAGCGAGGATTAAGAGGCTTCTCGCAATGATCGCGACGTCCCACGCTGTTTCGCGAGTGCGGTTATTTCGCCTGGTGGCGAAAATGGAATCGAAACGGCCGAGAATCGAATGAGCTTCCGACAGGGCTTTCCTTCTCGCTCTTTTAATTCTAAAAATTCTACTCTCGGCGCGTGAAAAAAAAAAAATTAATTGAATCGTTCTTGTACGATCATCGTGCGACGAGAGACGACGAAATTACAATCAACGCGTGGATGATTCGTTCGATCAGAATCGTGAAAGAATGCTCGGCGTACCCTCGATTTATCGAGAGATGCTTACAATTAGTGGAAATAATTTGTTTCTCTCTGAAGACCGAGAGTTGTTAGGAGCAATTATACTCGCACCGCGATTGAGCGACAATTTTGTTCGAATAACGTGTATTTTGATATAAGTCCTTAATCGGATTTTCGATATATCTACTATACAAACGCTCTACCAATGTTGCGTTTTGCCGCGTACAAACAAATTCAGTTATTACAGCGACCGCGAACGCTGTAATGTATAATACAAATGAAAATGGAGCCGCTCCAGCAGTAATAATCGAAACATTCGAATCGTTTCTGTGGTTTAAAGAAGAGATAAGGAAAAATTGTTTTTGTGCTGTCAGTTCGATGTCTTTTATCTTGCAATACCATATGCATAGGCACGTATCGACGGAGAAAAATTGTTGTTTGTCACTTGATTACATTTAAAAAAATTCTGCGGTGGATACCGCATTGAAGAAAGAAGGATAAGATCACGATTTGCTAATATTTCTAAACAAATAGGTAACGAATCAGTGTTAAATTTAGAAGTAGAAGTTATTTTATAAAAATTATAAATAAATAATTATAAACAGATATATTTTAAATATAAAATAATAATTGTTAAGTAAAAATAGAAGAATTAGAAGTAAAAATTTTATACTCAAAAAAATATTTTTTTACATAACGTTTTGATTCAAGTAGCTTCCAAACCTGGGTCTCACGAACACTTACGGGTTGAAGATGTCCTTGTCGAGTAATTCGCGAGAAAAAGAGCCGTTTATCATTCTGATTTCGCAGAGGCACACGGTTTTATCCGTCATCTGGTGAAGATCGCTGCTGACAAAACGGTACATATATGAGAGATCTAGGAAGAGTGTTGTCCCTTCCTCTTTTATCTTGACAGCTGTCTGCTCAGAACTTTGTAAAGTCGCTGAATACAGAAAATCTTACGTCTCGCGCCCGTGTCATCGACATTGCGGTCCGGCTAGTGTTTCACGAGATCTCGATGGATTTCAGCGATTTGAATGTTAACGAATCGAATTCCGAGGAGAGGATTTGCTCCGTAAAATTCGGGGGCATAAAATAGTATTTCCGGTCTCCCAATCACGCGCGTGTACGAGAAAATATCCCCTTTCAATGTAAATCACTCTCCGCGCTTAACTCCCCGTCGCATCGCATGGACACGTTTGCCATGACGGCAATCCCCGAACGAGGTATATTCTCCCGCCGACTACAGGCTGCGCGTACACACATCAGTAAAGTTTCAGTTAAGAGTCGGTCGTGGGAGTTGATTCACCGGGGGTAGAGACGGCGGCAGATACTCTAATTCAAATTGCGCGAGGCCATAGCCTAATTGCCGGTATTTGCTCGGCGCGGAGGAAGGACCACCGTGCTCGGTTGTTTAGCAGATATATGTTTGCTGCGACGAGGGAAGAGAGGGGCTCATTGTAAACCACCCTGGGTTTACAGTGGAGTTCGGTTTCGTGCGCGGTAATATCAACGCGCGGCGCCTCCCCTCCCCTCCCCTCCACGGCATTATCGCGGACTTAATGAATAGACCGCCGACTCTTGGCGGGCTCGACAACGATAACGAGGATGATAATGATAAACGATCCTCATTGCTCCGAATCTTTGTTCTCTCTCTCTCTCTCTCTCTCTCTCTCTCCATGTCTCACCTTCTGCCATGAAGCCAGGGGAACGACGGCAAGGCTTGCGTCCTCAAGGCGATCTGCAAGGCTGCCAAGCGTAGGCGCGAGGACATCGGGAAAGGAAGTTTCCTCGAGGAGATCCTGCACGTTATATTCACGTAAGTCGTGAATTAGATTAGAATTTTGTTCGTATTTTTTTCTTATTTAAATTTTCATTTTTGCTATGTTATGCAAGAAATCTTATGGCGAATGTCAGGTGAAGCGACGAATTAACGATTGCAGTCTGCCTGGAGGATGGTATGACATCGATCCGATGACCGAATACGAGCGAACATATCACTCGAGTGAAAATTGCGACGAGATGCACGCCAAGTGTCCAGGTGTCTTCTAAATTGCTGCAATCAGCGTAATCGTCTTACGCAAGCATGAAAATGAGCAGCTATTACGAAAGATCCTGTCTCCCTTTCTTGGTCTTTCAGATTAGAACTTGACTGTATAGACATAAATGCTAATCAAGTTTGTATAAACAAATAGCCATAAATATTGTCAAAGTGATTTATTTTGACGGGAAAATTGATCATAATTATAGTAAATTACTAGCAAAACAATTATATTCTGCAATTCTAAAACTTTTTTAAATTGTACTGAATTTAAAGTAAAAAGATGCTTAATTAATTTTTGTAAAATTAAAAGCGTTTAACGCTTTGTAATTCTATTTAGTTAATTGAAAAATCATCGATAATAAACGTTTCTTTTTTAAATCAATTGTTTAATTATGAAAGCGTAGCGTTCAAGCAAAGTAAATATATACTTTTATAATGAAACGATTTAAACAATTTTACTGAAAGTATCCAAGTGATGAAAAAAAATGATTAAAAAATACATTTAATGCATAGCGCAATAATACGTTGGATACGTCACGTATGTACGTAGTGGTTTAATATTTCAAAATGCATTTCAAAAACGTCTATCGTGAACTTTGCTCAACATTCGTCGTGAATTAGTCTATATGGGCGTGCCTCTCTTTCTGTACAACCTGCAAAGTTACGGGCTGTGACCTTTCGGAATTGAGGCTTTCCGAGTAGCTGCTCTGCGGTCTTTTTACTTGAGAGGAAAAGGCGGCAAAATATCGTGGTGTAAAAGCGAATAATAGTAACCGTCGCTACGTGATGAGATCGACAACAATGTTGACAACAATGACGTCAGCAATTCAAATTATGCAGTCGACGTCGTTCTTGGAATTTCCTCGTAACTACCAAATTGCTCGGATTACAACAGAACTTTCAGCACTCGCTCTTGCGGAGAGAAAAAGGAAAAAGAGAGAGAGAGAGAGAGAGAGAGAGAGAGAGAGAGAGAGAGAGAGAGAGAGAGAGAGAGAGAGAGTAGTATAA